ATGATGATGATGATGGTGTCAGTCTGTTGTGAGCGGGCATGGATTAGCATTACTTGGTGCTAAGGTATCGCGTTCATTAGGCTTCCCGAATAGATGCATTAGGCCTTATGTTTGTTTGCCGTAAATCAGCTTCAAAGATAAAAAGTCTCGGGCTTCATTTGGTGGAATGAGGTCAAGATGCAAACTATTAATTCAACAGCTCCCAGTGCTCAAACTGGAACAGAAAACCAGCGGTTCAAGCCGTTAAAAATTCATCCGGGTTGTCCTGAATTTGTGTACTGGTGATTACTGACGGCCTCTTTCTCTCTTCCTCTCTTGCTTTACTTTTAATCTTATGATCATTAATTATTCATCCTGGCATTTCAAATATTAAATGCATTTATTAATTTCATTTATCATCGGCAACAACAAGAGAAGGCAAAAACAAAACTGCAAGCTAACCCAAATCTGGAGTCGAAGACAAGTCTCGGGAGAAGACAATAGACATTATTTATTTTATTTGAAGTTCTTATGCAGGCGTTTATGAAAAGAGATTAAAACTGTGCTCTTTCATTTGGAGCTGGTTTGGCGTAATAGCTGTAATTAGAGAAATGAAAAGACAGAGTTATACGGAAAATTTAAAAGCTTTCTTGCATGCTGCGGTTGTGCCACACAGTCTCTTTCTATTTGTGTGCCGTGTGCAAAACAAAGCACAGGAAACGGGACTTTTTCTGTCATTTTTCAACTTTTATTTGCTTTTCAACTTGATCCAGGTGAGGTTGGTTTTCGGCCCATCTCTGCAGATGGATCTCTGTGATGTTGGTTAGTTAGTTAGTTAGTTAGTTAGTTAGTTAGTTAGTTAGTTAGTTAGTTAGTCAGTCGATCGATTTACCGGTTGATCTACGTCCCAATCCTCACCTATGGTCATGAGCTTTGGGTAATGACCGAAAGAACGAGATCACGGATACAAGCGGCTGAAATGAGTTTCCTCCGTAGGGTGGCCGGCTCAGCCTTAGAGATAGGGTGAGGAGCTCGGACATTCGGGAGGGACTCGGAGTAGAACCGCTGCTCCTCCGGATCGAAAGGAGCCAGTTGAGGTGGTTTGGGCATCTGGTCAGGATGCCTCCTGGACGCCTCCCTGGGGAGGTGTTTCGGGCATGTCCTGCCGGCAGGAGGCCCCCGGGTCGACCCAGGACACGTTGGAGAGGTTACATCTCCAATCTGGTCCGGGAACGCCTTGGGGTCCTGCCGGAGGAGCTGGTGGAGGTGGCCGGGGAGAGGACGGTCTGGAGCTCCCTAGTTGGGATGCTGCCCCCGCGACCCGGACCCGGATAAGAGGAGGAAGACGTTAGTTAGTTAGTTAGTTAGTTAGTTAGTTAGTTAGTTAGTTAGTTAGTTAGTGGGCTGCGGATGTTGTGGAGGCTGCTTGTGTGCGACTCACCTCCACCTCAGAGGCTCCCTCTCCTGTTGTGTTTCTCTGTGATCCTGCAGTCATGTATGTGATTGGATTTTGGTTTAACAAAAACCTGAAATTACACACCTATTGTGCCTCAGCTAAGCCCGCTTTCACAGCAATAGGGGCAGGCTCTACACGGCTCTCTTGGCTGCCGACTTTTGGGATCCCGCCCCTTGTCCCTCGCAGGTTGTTGAAGGAGGAGGATAATAGGATTAGGTCAGGGTTGCAGGGAAAGCATTGATTGTCATGTTTGGCTGGCAGCTGTAAAACAGAAAGGAAACTGTGAAGTGGGTCACCAACTATGAGGTGGTACGGGCCCAACATTTGCCCCCATGTGTGCGGCACCTTGGCACTGAGGTGACAGAGTTTGGGAGATGATGGAGGGGCCTTTCGCCGTCCTTAGGAACCCTGACACGGTACCATCTGTGACGCCAGCCCTAGTCCCCTCAGGCTATGCTTATGCTCATCACAGAGATGCTGATAACACAGGGTGTGACTAACACGCCATACAAATCTCCACATCCCAGGCACACACACACACACACACACACACACACACACACTCCAGCCACTATCAGAAGCAGTCGACAGGAGGCTGGTTAGCTCCCAGGGGCGTGTGGGTGTAGCTCTCTGATGAGTGGGTGGACCCAGACAGGGTAATGACAGGGTAAGGACTACGTATGTCAAGTTATGTGTAATTAAATGTGAAACTGACAGTTGTGTCACAGAGAAGAGCAGCAGGGTGAAAGGTGAGTGGGCGGAGCTAACGGTGCTGATTTAGAGGATCATCTTCGTTACAGATGAACCGAGCTCCACGGTGCAGTAGTGTATCACAAAGACGTGGTGATGATGCAAACGTGGCTTGTTCTCTTAGCTGCATTAAATAAAACTGGAGCAGAAACCAACTTTTTCAAAATGTTTGATAAAAGTAGGTTTTTTTTGGTGGTAAAACTAAATTTCATGTTTTCGTTTTTTACATTTTAAATGAAATTTCAAGTAGGCTTCTTGATTTTGAGATTAAAGGGTTGAAGTTTCCTTTAAAAAGGTGAATTGTGATGAAACTGTCAAAGTGTACCATCACCAATGCAGGCGTCTCAAAACGAAATCATTACATGTTCAGCTGCAACAGGATTTGTCAAATCCAATCAAGATGGTGACCGCACCTGTGTTCACTCTAAAAATGGACATGTTGAATTTAATTAACCAAGTTATGACAACTGCTTCCTCTGAGCCTAGTGGCTTAAAGGGACAATCAGCAACTTTTAACTATGAATATAAAATGCAGTAGTTGTAAGTTATTGTGATATTTAACAAATATGGCCATATACTGAGAAAAATGTTTAATTAACCCTTTGATGCATGAGCTATGAAATATTCAACCATGATTTTTTTTTTACAATTTTTTTCATTCATCTTTAGGTGTGAATGAAACAAATTTCAACAAATATTTTTGGTAACATTTAATAATTTACTAATACTTTATTACATGTCCACCTCAGTGGACAGCATGCATTCTGCACTGTTGGCTTGCCTTACTGAAGTCCAAATGGGGGGGCTCAAATGTCATAAAGTCTTCAGCAGCTGTGCTTAATAGCAAAAAAATAAATAAAAAATGGAACAATTTTGACTGCCTGTCCACTGTAGTGACCATTATGCATCAAAGGGTTAAAGAATGTTTAAATAAAAAGAGTTTTAACTAATTGGTCAAAAATTGGTACCGTTAAGTACTCGTATCGATTGCTATGTACTGGGATTTGGTACCGTATCGATTCAAATGTCAAAGGTACCCACCCCCATTTGTCGAGCCTAGTTTATGCTTCTGCGCCTGCGTCGGTACGGAGACTCTCAACGCCATGATCCGTCCTTGCAAGGGCTCTGCAGCAGAGATGGAGTCAAGTCCACTTTTCTAAACATCTGTTGAACGAGACGGAGAATGCAGGCTTGTGATTGGTCAGGACGGCACTTTTGTCCACAGCACCACTACTACCATTGCGTTCTCACAAACAAAGAAATCTAGAGGCAGACACGGAGCAGACTGAAGAATACCTCGCGGAAAAACTCTAAAAAATATGAACATTTATTCACCTATGGCTGGAGAAGTATAAAGATGACCAGCGAGCATTTTATTTGTGGATGGAAATGTGGGTTTGGAGGTGGCGAGCGCATGAAGGGATTTGTCCCCTTTAAAAAGTCTCAGAAACACAAAAAACACAATATAAACACAATTAAAAGCACCCCAGAACAGCGCTACGCCCTCTGTTGCCCTGGAGGGGAATTGCTTTGCAACACTCTGCAGCAGGCAACACATACACCCGAAGCATTGAAAAATGACGCTGGGTGACCGAGCGTTTCTCTCTGACGCCCGCAGTAAAATGCAAATTTCACCAACATTTAACCTCCAACCTCTTGCTATTTAACCTTCCCCTCACCCCCATCCTAGCCTTAACCCAGTTTCCCGTTCTAAACTCCCTGTTAACCGTGTTGGGGAGGGACGTTACAACTACAGGTTTTGCATGCGGTTAAGGTTATGATGGGGGTGAGGGGAACAGTGGCGTGTCCAGATCTTTTAAAATGGGGTGGCCCAGATGAGGCACAACTTTGTGCATGGGTGGCACCAATGGTTATGCTTTTTTGTTTTACCCCCAAGCCTTTTGTGGACAATGAAAAGCCTATTTAAAGGTAAATTAGTGTGGTGGCACCTGGGGTGGCCAGTTAGATTCCAAGGGTGGCACGTGCTACCCCAGGCCACTCCCTGGACACGCCCCTGGAGGGGAAGGCTAAACAGCAAGAGGATAAAGGTCACACTTTGTTTTACCGCAGCAGTCAAAAAACGACGCTCTGGCGTAAACGTTTGGTCACACAGCGTCAAGTTTCGACGCTTTGGGTATGAGAATGTGTTACCCCAGGAGGCGGACAAGTCTGAAGGTAAAACACTTCCATCAATCCGTGCGTGTCTCTCCCTTGTGGAGCTGACGTAGAAGCATGAGCCAAGCTTTAGTGAACTTGGTCTTTAAGTAAAGGAGGAAGAAAATAAGGTCAGGAAATGACAGATGACCCTAGCAGGTCTCCCCTTCCTCGTGTTTGTGTGTGTGTGTGTGTGTGTGTGTGTGTGTGTGTGTGTGTGTGTGTGTGTGTGTGTGTAACATATTTTTTCAGCTCCTGAACCTTGTTCACTAAACTGTCTGCAGCTACACTAGTGACCTCCCACCTCCAAAACCATGCACACACACACACACACACATGCACACACACACACACACACATGCACATGCACACGCACACACACACACACACACACACACACACACACACACACACACACACACACACACACACACACACACACACACACACACCTTGTCTCCTCTTGTGTTTCCTCTTCCTTGGCTTCACGGTGGTTCCTCATTATGAAGACACAATGGGAAGCAGCGTCTGCCTGGACCAGTAGCGCCGAGCATAAATAATGCAAGGTCAATGTTTCTCCTCTCCTTTCGCTCTCTCCCTCCCCAGGGATGAAGGCTGGATCTAAAGCTTCAACACACTAGCAGGTCTCTTTCAGCCTCTTTCAAAACTCTGCGTTGCCTCAACTTCTTCTCTTCCATATTTTCTGAGTCGGTTTGTCGTCTGTTTGTCCGTTTCTGCTGTTCCACCTTTGTTTTCCTCTTCCTTAACATCAGAACAAAATGACAACAGGACTTTATTCTTATTGAGTTAAATTTATATTGATTTACTTCTCTTTTGCCACTTATCCTTTCTTCTGTCTTTCTTTTGCTCTCCTTGTTTTACTGTCTACCCCTTTTTTAAGCTCCCTCTCGTCTCCAGGTTCCTTTTGTCCCCTCTTGTCCCTTCACCCTCACCACCTACTTATCTCAATATGTCCTTTCACTTTCCATTTTTCCATCCATCCAAATTTCCTCCATCCATCCGCCTCTCTTTTCATTACTCGTCCCTGTCCTGGTGAAAAGTAGATCCTGGAAAGTGGAGTAGAGAGAAGAAGGGGATGGGGTGGAGAGGTTAAGACAAGGCTCCCCAGAGCCAGAGGGACAGCTTATCCTTATCAGGCTTCAACCTGCTTATTAGATCCTCCAGGACGTGCCGTGCTCTTCACTTGAGCACCGCCACCCCCTCCTCCAATCCTCTGTCCTTGTTCCTGCCTCTCTCCCACCCTCAAAAGGATTTTTCACACTGGATCGTTCGTCCAGCTCTGAGGGAGAAGAGAGGCTGGGCTGCTTGGTAGCACTGATGCCTTGCATCAAGAAGGTTGCAGGTTTGAATACCAGCTGCAGCTTTTTTGTGTGGAATGAGAACATCCTTCCCGAGCATGCATGGGTTTTCTCTGGGTACTCTAGTCTGCAACATGTTTTAACACAAATGTTAACAGCATGCGCTAGATGGCCTGAAACAAGCCATCCCACGGTGCACCGTTGACACAAATGTAAGTTGCATGAAAGAGAAATCTGTGTCCAGTGTTGCACATTTCAATCAGCGCATCCCCGGTTATCACACGAGGTGCAGGGAAAGCCTGCGTCTTCGAGCTGTTCTCGTGGTATTGTTCTGGATAATAGAGTTTTGTGTGAGTCGATGCAAATTTACAGTCGAGGTTTTTGTTTGCAGCAGCATTACACTAATGGATTTGTTACACTCTACAATAAAGTTTGTAATCTGGAGCATCTTTGTGCGTCTTTCTGCCAAACAAAAGGCCGAGGAGCCTCGTCTAGCTCCTCAACCATCTGCTGTGCCCCAGGAGCTTCCACCTCCTCCACCCAAAAGGAGCTTCGTCGGTGCCCCCAGCAACCCTCGCACAGCGCCCATGGGTGAGTGGGGCAGGGGTCTGGAGGGGTTTCAACCTGATCTTGGCTCAAGTAAATGAGGATGTGTGCTTATTGTAACTTGTGTACTTGTTCACACAGCAAATGATGATCATTATTTTGGACTAATGTCAAAGCCGAGTAAGTGGATTTCTTATCTGCCTACGAACACGAGGACAAAGGAAAAGACGGAAGGAGAGCGGTGTTTCCACCGGCAGCCCTCAAACCCGCAGAGATTTGGTGAATGCCAAACCTCCATGTGGAGTCTTAAGATAGACCAAGTCAGGCAGCAACAGCACCGGGTATCATATCTCTGATATCCTCGCTAAAGACAAGACCCCTACAAAGCACCCTCGTGGTTATTCTCACCACCCATTCAGCCAATGTCACGAGGCCCGGCTGTGGACACACACACACTTTGCACACCATCTGATCAGTCGACATATATCATATCCTGACGAGGGGGACTCCCTCTGAAAATAAATGTATATTTAGGAGCCTCGCTGTGAGGAACAGGGTGTCAGATCTTGTTACGACAGCCACTCCGGAGGCTAAAATTAATAGCTCTCAGGTCGTCACAGGAGCGACACCCAAGCTCTCAGCGAGGGTCAGCAGCGAATTCCACAGCTCGCCGTCACATCCACACCAATTCCCACTAACATGCCGAAGTCATCTTAACAGCTGCCACTCAATGCGTGGAGGAGGAGGACGGCCACATGCCAGTTCGTGTCATCTTCATCAGCTGGCTTCAACATTTCCCTCTTTCTATTTTTATATTTCAAACCTGATGATCAGTCCTAAATATGTTTTAATGAGGTGTTTGAGAAAAAAGCTTAACGCACAAGAGAGCAAGCTGTTGTCTCTGTCAGGCCGTCCTTCGTAGAAGCAGGACTCGGTGTGACACCAGGTCTTCAACACGTTAAGTAACTAGAAGCTTTCATTTCAACATAAAAGTAGAAGAACTACTTTATTATCTTTATTTCACCCGGGGGTCTCGGTGCTGTTTTCACAGAGGAAGCTATAAATAATGAAGTATGTGGTTGGAACTCAGAGCGGCAGAAGAGTGCCTGCCTCATAACTGGGAGGTTGTGGGTTCAAGTCCTTTTCGGTCTGTTGCAGTCGTGTCCTTCAGCAAGACTCTTCACCCTTAAAGGAACCGTTAGGCTTAGGCAACTCTTCCAAACAAACCCAAAACGAGCCTGCTCAGATGCGTTTTCTTCAACCGACGGGTTTCAGGAACGTTTTCCAGTTGATCGTATTTTTGTTAAAATACAAATCATAAAAGTGTGTAATTATAGCAGCATTTCAGTTCAAACAACAAAGGTACAAATAATAATACGAATTGTGATACTTGGTGCCTCATGACAGCCCTGTGGTGTTCTGTGGTGTAACTGTGGCGAGTCTACAGTTAGGGACCACCCTCTCCTTCCAGATGAGCGTGTAGGCGCCTCCAAGTGCAATCTCTCTCTCTCTACCGCACACACACAGATACTCATCCCCTCTGCAGGTGCAACACAATCACACCATCAGATAGTGTTAAATGAGGGTCTAATGAGAGCTGACACGAGACAGAGCAATTAGACCTCATCAGTTCCTGTCTTCCCTCTCCGAGGGGCCAGCAAACACCCCAATGAACAACTTGATCAGTCAGAGGGCGACGCGACAACAGGAAGGCTGCACCTGCGGTGGCAGTCTCTATAAATGTAGTGGAATTCATTTTTAATTATGATTAATAAGATGTGATATTCCACACAAATATGAAATATCTTAAAGATCTTTGAATGTTTAATCAGAAGATTCTAGGGTTCTTTGCTTCTTCAGGGACCATAAACACACTTCGTATTAATTCAGAGTCACTATATAGTTTATAAAATGATTTTAATTATTTTACCTAAACTAATGATACATGACAAGATATGAATAATGAGAGGTGGTGTGGTGGATGTGAGGTGTTGTGATGGAAGCTAGATGTTGTAGCAACCGTTCTTTGCTTCTGAGAGAAATTGTGAAATCTGGGTGTAAAATAACTTGTTGTTTATAAATAAACAACTCTCTAGTTTATAACAAACAGCATCAGCCACCAGTATGCAGGCTTACGATACCCTGGTATGAGTCGCTCCCGGTGGTTCAGAGGGTTGCGGTCAGAGTGGTGAGGTCATCGGACGTTGAAACCACGATACTCAGAGTTTAGTAGCTTCCTCTGAGTTCAGCTTCCCCGGCCCTGAGATGCAACCCGGGTCTGCAGGTTGGGTGTCTCAGGTGGACGTCTGAGTTGAAGCAGCTCTGAAAAGAGCTGTTGTGTCTGTAATCACTCGCAGCGTCGCAGAAAGGTTTTGACTTAAGGTCAAAGGAGTTTGTTTCAAAAGAGTCTTCTTTCCCGATTCGGCCGAACCGGGTTCAGCTGGAAACTGAATTAATCAGGAAGTAATTCTTGTTTCATTAAACTACTTTGTCATGATGTCTGGCCAAGTTCGGCCGATCAGACTTCGACACGTTTCTGAGTATTTACCAACATCCCTCAGAAAGCCACGCCTTCTTCAGACACAAAGATGTTTTTAACCTTAACATGTATCTTATTGTCGTGTGTGTGCGTGTAAACAACGATGAACTTGTTGAATCAAACACACAGTGATGTGTGATATAAATGGATCATTGTAAGAACAATATTCATGTTAAATTCATTGATTTAAGCACAGATTATTCAAACATTTGATTCAAACATCTTCTTCATTCATCACATATGATTATTTAACTTATAACTATAAAATCGTGGAGTCTTCACTCATCCAGATTGAAGGATGTTGACGTCTGGCGTTCACACGGTGAGAGCAGGAACCTTGGGTGAGAATGTTTGTTTGATGTTTTGTCTTCAGGGAATGTCAGCACGCGCTGAGCAGAACCTTCTGGATTTAGAAGGTCACATAGAAAGTGGATTTATGCTGTAGATGAAATGTCACTATGTTGGTCAGTGCAGACGGTGAAAAATTGGCCCTTTTGGACGTTACAACTCCCCCCTTTCCAAGGTCACGGGGTCATGGCAGAAGTCCACGAGGCGTTGGACAATCTTAGAGGCCCTGAGGACTCAGCAGAGGAAGACAGAGTTAGTTCTCAGGCACCGAAGCATCAGGAGTGAGGAATACATAATACTGTATACTAGTGTGTGTGTGTGTGTGTGTGTGTGTGTGTGTGTGTGTGTGTGTGTCCAACTAGAAAATATTAAAAACAAGAGAAAAGACAAACAAATATGAATATAAACAACACAACAGACTTTCTTTAGACTAAATAAGAGACAACGTCCACGTAAAGGGAAACACATCGTATAGTATAATATAAAATATGTACTTTGTTTTGAGGTGAAGATCATTTATACACCAGTGTAATGATAATGTGTTTTTAGAAGTTTTATTTTAGTTTAGCAGGTTTTTCTTTAGTTGGGTTCATTTTATGATTTAATAAGTTATAAGGATTAAAATGTGCTTCACCAAGTTGACCTGACAGGTGAAGGGTTGATAAATAACAAAGATGAGTGGCATTCTGCTAAAATAACAGTTTGAGCTAAAACTAAAGAGTGTTTCTCATTCCTCTGAACTTTGACGTTGTAGAAAGTCTGAATTAGTCAACAGACCCAAACTGTTTGATGCTCTCTGCCCTCGACAGGCTGGCCTCCACAGGACAATACGTTCAGATCTTGTGGTCACATTTGGCCCGTCACAACTCACCACAACAGTAAGCACCTGAAACATCCACCGCCCTTTAAGACGGATCTGGCATATCTCTCTTCTTGCATCGGAAATCAATGGGCAGCAAATTATTTATGGAAAAATACACACAGGGCTGAATTACTGTTGCTGGAGGCTGTTGGGATTTATCCTCACCACACAAATCATGCTAAGCTAGCAGCAGACGAGCGGCAGGTAACTCACTTTGAGGCATGGCAGAAATCAGTGTGTGTGTGTGTGTGTGTGTGAGTTTATCTGCATAATCAACTCAATACAGCATATTTGTGGCCCAAACCTAATCAATGACCCAGAAAAAACTTGAACTTTCAGGCTAGAGTACTCCCCTGAAAAATGTGCTGATTATGTCTGGTGACCCATTTGGAGCCGGTGTTGATGCCTGTATTGATTGTAATCATCATGGCTGTCACAACACAGAGCCACCATCAACCCAGATGGAACGGACCAGTCAACAAGCAGGTAGAACGTTACAGTGGCTTCGAAATGCATACCGGACATAAAGACATGTGCAGAGGAAGTTCTTATGGGGAGACAAAAATCTCACATTTTGGGTCAGAAGCAGCAAGGAAAATAAAAATGTAGGATAACAGTTGAAAGCTCAAACATTTCTAGGACAGACGTGAACTGAGAGGCTAAACAGCTTTTTTCCAGCGGTGTCTAAATGATGGCTTTCAGGGCATCATTGGCCCTCAGTGTGATTTAGTCTGGCCCGTGGCTGGATGGTGAACTTTGGTCCCGCCTTCATGGTGCCGACACTTCCTGACAATGAACTGGCTTTCATTTCCAAGACCAAAAACAGAAAACAATTGACTCATCAAGTCCAGGGAATGTGATGTTTGTCCTTTATTAAAGCAACTCATGAGTGTTTGAACACTTGAAGCTATTGCTTTCAAACTGGCTTCAGTGGTTCTTAAGCCAGAAACCACCAGCTTCACACTGGAAAGCACTCGCCTGCTGAAAAAAACAGTATAGTTATTAGATTTGTTGTGTTTTGGTGCTGGTTCGGCCAGTATGCTGGTCAAAGTTAGGATGCTGGTCTAGCTTTTCATCATCCAACACATTCTCACTCCCAGCGTGTCAAAAACAAACGCTTGGTCAGCCACCCTCCACGTCAGACCCCAGACGCCAAAAGTGCCCTTTTTCGTTACTTATGTGCGAAAAGAGGTTTTTCCCTTTTCTGACTGCAGATCCCAATGCAGCGTAAAACTGACGTGATGAGATATCCGCTGATGCGGCACCGAACCAGCTCATTTAACCACACCTAAACCTTAACGTTTTGCTATTTACAACCTTCCCCTCATCCTAACCTTAACCCTCTTGCTACCTAAAACGTTACTCTCACTGTGATCAAGCGTTTGTTTCCCATGTATTCTGACTGTGACGGTCAGAGTCTGACTGTCAGTTTTCATATTTGCCGCCCAAGGGGAACGTTAGAACATACCATCTGGCGAGGGGGAGGTTACACATACCCTCTACTTTTAACCTCCACCGTGGTAGTTGAAACCTCCCCCTCGCACTGGCTCGGTCCAAACTCGACCAATGACGAGGCGGCTCCCTCCGTTCACTTCATAGATCCGGCTATTAGAGTGATCGACACATCACTAATGTGTTCGCTAGCAAGATGGATAAGGTTAGGGTGAGGTACAATGAGCTTGTTTGGTGCCCTGGCTGCGGACGTCCCATCGCGTCAGTGTAACGCTGCGTTGGGATCTGCAGTCAGAAAAGGGAAAATCCCCTTTTCGCACATAAGTAAAAAAAAAGGGCACTTTTGGCGTGAGGGGTCTGAGGCGGAGGGTGGTTGACCAAGCGTTTGTTTTTGACGCGCTGGGAGTGAGAGTGTATTGCATCATCAGCATACCAGCATCAAAACAACATATCTCTGCTGTTTCTTTTGTTTTGTTTTGTTTTTTTCAGCAGGGTTCGTTGCCCATTGCTGACCAAAATCACACATAACAGGTTTGTGGTGCAGGTAGGAACATCAGTGTGAGGCCTCTGCTTTATGGCAATAGTGGTTTACTGTGCTGGTAGCTAATTTAAAGGCTAGCAGTTAGCTTTTTCAGTTCATCAACGGACAAGAAGAAAAGCAAGTGTGCTTGTTTTGGCATCAAGCCTGTCTCTGGAAGAGCAGAAAGAGCTAAAACCATAGTGAACGTTGGTGCAGCTTATGCTTGTGTTAGAGAGCTGATGGTGACCTGGCTTCCTTACTAAACTTACAAGTAATACTTTTGTCCAACAGTGGATTTTGTTTTACTATGTGGCTTTTTTTTTTAACACTTGGCTTGAGTTAGCACTAGCTACAGCCGGCTGCAGCAGGGTTGTTTATGACAGTTTTAATTCTACTTTCATTCAGTTGAAGGGAGAAGCTGAAATCGTATCAATGTTGCTTTAAGGAGAAATAATGTTTTCTTTTGATTAAAATGTCTGTTCTGTGCATTTTTGAGGAAACAAATGTTTCTAAAAAGCGTACAACTTTTCTGCCTTATGTCTTTATTATTTAACTAAATGTGACTCAAAGGTATTTTTAACCTGATTTAAAGGTGAAGTGTGTAAGTATAGAGTAAAATGACCTCTTATGGTCACATTTGGTTACTGCAATCTCTCGCTCATTCCTGTTTCGTGAGTTTCATGGCTGCTGCCGGTTACGGATCATCACTGGAAAATTCTGGATAACAAGCAAATACAAGTCACACACAGTATGTTTATAAGTACATAAATATATAGCCATATCTGGCGTTTGCACTATTGGGTGTTTCACGGGAGGGAGTACTTACTACACATATTACGGTAATATGCCTCCAGAAGGAAGTGTTGTTTTTAGCGTCTGCCTGCCGGTAGCGTGCTGTTATTTCTGTGAATGACTCATTTAAGGAAGTAAAACACCACGTTTGACTCATTATTCACCTCACACATACATTTCACTGTGATATCAGGTGTTTGAGATACCTTTAGAACTGACTCTTTGCTTCTAATACACTGTTAGCTTTGTTAGCACAACGTTAGCCTTTGGCCTTCTGGACTAGGGTGACCATACGTCCTCTTTCCCCGGACATGTCCACTTTTCACTCTCTGTCCGGGGCGTCCGGGGGGGTTTCTTACATTGATCAAAAATGTCAGGATTTTCATTCAGGAGCAGGGATCGAGTTATGGGGGGTTAGATATCTTTCAGGGAAAGATCCAGTTTCTGCCTATATTACAATATTTATGGACTCTCAGCATAGCGGGGTTCTGTTGAGCGGAGAGGATGCAGAGCGCTGATCGTTGGTGCGCCCGCTGCGTCCGGCGCACGATGCATTCTCAAGGTGGCTCAACAAAATATTATTATTAACACATGATTGTTCATGTCTGTTTAAATCCTCTGGTGTTGTGTCTTTTAACTGATCCTGACGTGCTCCGCTCATAGTGTGCTGCGGTGATTTCACCTCACTGACGCAGCATCGAAACGCTCTCCGCTTTGCGGTCAGGAGATCCCTTTGATCTGCTCAAAAATAACTGATGAGGTGAAAAAGTAAGAATCCAGGCAGCAGTTTTTCTGGAGAGTTTAGAGGAGATGCAGGAAGATGAGAGACAGACAGGACAGGAAAACAGTTCAATAAAAACATGAAAACAAAGCTTGAAAGTCAAATGTAGGTAGATTTATCTCCACTACACGTTTTTATCTGTATAAAACAACAAGTTATACACACGTCATACTTATACATCTGATACAATTCAGATCACCTTCAAAACTCAGTCACACACGCAGGGCCGTTTCAAGGTATTTTGGGGGCCAAGGCGAAACGGCATAGTTGCTAATTAGCATCTGTAGTCCGTCAACAAGAGAACTAAGTAAAACAAGTAACACGATACAATTTATAAACAGTCCGATAGAAACATTCCTTTAAAATAGACAAACAACAAACTAAGAATAACTAAAGATGCAAACACGTCTGGGAACCTTTAAGATGTAGTTTGAGGTGCTTTTTAAAGGTGCTATAAGTGGGAAACTCTGATATTCACTGGGATGTTGTTCCAAAATTGACTCCCTCTAACGGACAGCACCATTTATCGGAACGTCGTTTTCCTTAGGGGACCTGAAGGTCTCCTCTAGTGGAGGCTCTAGTGCCATAGCCTTTGTCTGCTCTTAATTTTACGTATGCGGAAAGTGGAGGTGGAGCTAGTCCATAAGTGCTTGTAGATTAAACAACTATTTTTGAACTTAATAACTTATTTAAAATTAAGTATGTTGTACTTTGCCAGAATATTACAACGGTGATATGACAAAGGCTTCTGATCCAAGATTTTTATAGACTTTTTGAATAATATTTCTATTGGTTTTAGAAGAGTGTCCCCAGTGAATGACCAGGTTGATGCAGTAGTCTCTATGAGAGAAAATCATGAAGTGCAAAAACATTTTAGCTGAAATTGTAGTCATTGGAGATCTAATTCATTTAAAGTTATTTATATTGAATTTAATTGTGTTCACTGTATGTTTTATATGTTTTTAAAGGATAGTGTCGGATCCAGGGTGATACCAAGGTACTTGAACTCTTGCACCAGGTCCAGCTCCACCTCCCCCAAGAACACGTTGGACCACTCCAGATCTATAGATTTTTTTGTGAATATCATTGCAACAGTTTTTTTTTATTCAGTAACTGGCATGACTGATGGAGACAAAGCTTTAATAAGACAATATAAAGTAATGACTGTGTAAACTGATCATAAGGTAATAATAATGTTTATTCCAACGTCCTTCATTTATTTTCAAATTACCCTTTGCAGTTAAATTAAATTCATGATTCCAGTAGATTTAGGAGCTAAAACAAGCTCTACTGTGTTAAACCACCAGATAACAGGTTGAAAGCTAAATGCTTTAGTTTTTTCTCCATCTTGTTCAAATGAACAGATCCAGACAAATCCACCCCTCTCACCAACCACCTAGCTTGTTTAGCCCTACATTTGTCACGTTCCCACGTCATAAATCACTCTGACCAAAGTGGGTCTGATAACTGCTGCATCGCTGTCAAACAGCGGCTTCCCTAATCTGCCTGCCAGACGGTCGGCGAGGCCCTGGGACCACCACGGATGACCACGCTGTCCCTTCCACGGGGCACCGCAAACACGCAGCAGAAACGTTTGTGCGACTAATAATTCAGGTGTTTAGGATAACTGGCTCGTACATCCGACAGTCCGTGCATGCGGCAAAATGTGAACAGGGAGCCCCTCGAGGCCTTCGCCAGGGTGTTACATTTACAAAACGGGGCAGCCATCCAACAAACAAACACACACACACACACACACACACACACACACACACACACACACACACACACACACACACACACACACACACGGACATTCTGTCCAATTTCCTACAATCAGTCAAGATTTAAGAGAAAGTGTGGAAACATAAGACCTTTTCCATTCCTTGTGATATCAATCAAATTTTATTTCTAAAGCGCTTTTCAAACAAAGTGTGATTCAAAGTGCTTTACAAAATGACCCCAGATTCCCATAACAGGTTAAAAACATTAACAAACATATGCAATCACACGCACACGCACACACAGACTCACACACACACACACAAGTAAAAATTATATTAGGCTGAGTCCAGATGAGCCAAGTAAGGTAACGCAAGGAAATGCCATCAGAGGAGCCGTCGGACCCGGCAGCATCAGGTCTTCCACACTAAGTCAGGGCGCTCAGTGGAGGGGGGGCATAGACCCCCACCCATAGAGCGCCCCGGAAGCTACAGTCGACCACCGCTCCCGGGGCAGAGGGCCCCCACAGAGGAAACACTGGATTAAAATGAGTAAAAATGTAATAAAAGAGCTAATATAAATGACAAAAATTAGAAAATAAGTAATAAATAAAATGATATAAACAGTAAAATAATAATTTAAATATGTTACGTGGATCTCACCTGGAAGAACCTGCACTCATAAAAAAATTCACTTTAAGTTTCTCTTTTTCTTCTATTCTAATAAAATCCTGATTTTATCTAATTAAATTCCCTCAAACTTAACTGCACAAAACAACGACGACGGAAACCAAATGAAAGGATGCGTGAATAGCAAGTAGCAAGTGTTGTCACTCTATAAATGATGGGTGTAAAGATCAGTGGTTGAAGCTCTGACTACACAAACAGGATGTGTCATAGAGGACACATGGGGGTGTTCCAGCATGGGGGTCTTCCCACTCACAGCTTCTGTAGGCAGATTTATCATCCAGAGGTTAAGGGTGGGCCATCGACCCAAGAGGGGGGGGGCTTCAGGGTAGCTGTGGAGGGGGCAGCAAGCTACAACAGGAAATTTTCCTTTTCTGTTTCCATTTGGCAAAAAACAGTTTTGCAGGTTGCTTGGTAGGAAGCAAGTCCATAAAGCAGCGTGGAGAAAGCTGCAGCCACATGTCTGAGCGGTAACGTGATCCTGAGGGTCTGACCGCAGTTAATTTTTATTACTGTAAATACTCTCTGTTTGCTTGTGCTCCGTCTCGCACAACCCCCGGCTGCTTTTATGTGAATCTTGTGTTTGATTAACCCCGCTACATACTCGAGGTCCGTTTGTGCGCACCCACACATAAACGGGCACAGAATGCACTGTTGTAAAGCAGTCCTACGCTCCCAGACAGACACGCTTACACGCGGTGTCAGGGAAGGTTACAAAAACACATTAACACTGCTCCATTTGTCCGACGGT